CTTTACATTGGAATCCTAATTGGTTCCAGAAATGTCCTGAGGACGCAGACGGTAAAAAGTACAAGACCACAAATATGACCTTTCCAGGCCGCTTGTCCACTGTCTCTTAACCCCTACCATGCATCAGTGGATTGCATGACAAACACTAACTGCGGCATTGCTGCTGTTGTCACTTATCCGCAGTTTTGTCCCGCCCTTAATCTGGCGGGGAATTAAAATGATTTAGTATGTGTAATTGGGCTTCGTTTGTTTTTCATCCAGCCTAATGGCAGTCGGGGTCAACACCTTGCTGACTGACAGCTCCACAAATACCTGACATACAGTACATTTGAGGAACACGTTCACCCAAGTGCTTTATTAATAATAGCTTTGCGACGTACACTTAGCTTCACCCACCCAGTACACAATAAAAGGCTACGTTTAACTGAGCGCCATTGTTTGAGTCGCTGCCACCCATATTTTTTAATACCACGAGACGTTAACAAAGGGTTTATTAAAGGCCACGCCAGGGTTTGTATTGAGTTAAGCAAATCATTAGCGTTAGCGTAGGGTACGCTTCATGGCTCATTTAGCATTTTTAGCGTTTTAGAAAAATCCACACTTAGTAACAAGTTTCTGTGAGTGGTCCCGCGGAGTAATTACCTTAGGAAACCCCCAGCCCCCGCCTTCTTCCCTTGCTATTTTGGAACTGCCCTAGGGAATGAGGAAGTCCTCTCTTGTGGGAACCTCACTGAGATTCACTGAGAAGGGGCTGAATGCGTTCAGCCGGTTGTCACCAACGGCCTCCATTATCACCCGGGCTCCATTGTCCCCTTTGTCATCCAAAATCAGACACACACACAAGAGGCGTTTAATTGGGTGTACTCTCGAGGGCTTTCATCCCCCACTGCACATGACTGAATACTGAACTGGCCATTGATTGGTATTTGCCACACAATGCACTGTACCCAACCCATTCTGGGGGTTTATACGATAAGTGTGCAGTAAATATTTGGCGATTTCTGGCCCGGGGAGCATTCGTCGCACAGTAGCTGCTTATCCGAACAGGCCCACGGGAATTCTGTGTGTGTGTGTGTGTGTGAGAATGTGCATGTTGTCTTTCCAAGAGTCTGTTTTCACAGAGAGTTTGATGTGGGAATGGTATGTAGCGGGAGATTAGCAGAGCTGTGACAGTGTGTGTATTTGAGTTGGGGGTCGGTTTTGTGTACCTTTGCGCACATTAACGCGTGTAAATCTTTGTGATTTTTGAAAAAAGAAATTTTTTTAGCAAGGCCAGGAAGGAGGTGACCTTTTTTTTTTTTTTACAATTTCTGATCCGAGTCAAGATGATTCAGGGTGTGCAGCATTCTAAACAAATAAGCAGGCTATAAAGCATGTGTCAAACTCAAGGCTCAGGGGCCAAATACGGCCCACCAAGTCATATTCTCAGGCCCGTGGGAGATTAAAAAGCATTTAATAAAGTCCATGCAGGAGAGTTTCTTAACCTGATAAATTATTATAAATTATTTATTGCAAATAATTTTTCTTTGTTCGTCAGTGTGACAGGCGGAGCAATAAAATCCTCTTCCGCTAGGTGGCAGCAGATGGCTATGAATAAATTATTTCTTTACATTACATGTACACTTTTTGTGAGATTTTTGTTTGGTGGTTTGCCGTGGGGTTTTTACCTGATGATATATATGAATATAAACTACAACATTAAATTATTTCAGGCCTCTCGCCTAAGAGGCCTATCGCCTTGTGGGGTTGACACGGGGGGCACACGGAGGCACGGCCGGGTGGATGGTCGGTGGTCTTTGTTTTTGTCCACGTTGAAGCGTACAGCACTTGAGTGTGACAGGGAGAGTGGGAACGACTGAGGCCAATTAGATACAGCTGCCATTCCGTCTACCATCCTTTACAAAGTGGCAACAAAGAATGTGGGCTTGACGGCCGGTCGGCCGCATGTCGGTGGCATGCATGTGTATCTCACAGCCCAGCGGGGCGGTAGGTAATGGTCAGATGAATTATTTTAATGGCTTATAAATGTGATTTTTCTTTTTTTCCGTTCATCGCAGAACAGAATGTGCCAGTGTGCGCGCTGGTACATTCCGTTGCGTGTGTGTGTGTGTGTGTGTTTATGGTTTGTGTGGGTATAAGAGATCTCACATGTTTGGAGTAAAACTGTCAGATTGTCCATCTTGAGTCAGAGCTTTGGTATTTGCATACGTTCACAGTGAGTAAGTCTCACATGAAAAGCGTGGTTTACAGTAAACACATGGAACTGTATGAATCCTTGAAAGTTGAGTCCCACTGAGGCCCAAATGATCTACGGTCCCTGGACTGGGGGTTGATTACTGTTGAGTCCCACTGAGGCCCAAATGACCTACGGTCCCTGGACTGGGGGTTGATTACCCCTGCTCTGTTCTACAAAAAAAATGTAAAATACTCTCTGTGAAGAAATTAAATGCTAATAATGACACTTCCAATTTGTCCCCTCTTCACAGTACTTACACATTCCCATGTCCTGCATCCATTATGTTCACACTGATTTTCAGTCTCGGCAGGATTCACTCTAATGTGCGTTTACTGTTGTCCTACAGGTGGCATGCTATTTGAAGGAGACCCTGAAGGTCACGAGGTCAGCTACTGGTCCTTCTTGGTTTGTTGACAGCTTCATCAGGATGGACACTTCCACTGCACTCCTCTCTTTCCATTACCACACTGAGGCAAAATATTACAGGTAAAAACTCTCCTTATACCCATCTTTATTTTATTTGGACACTGTTGTCGTATTTACTCACCTTCTTCACACTTAAGTATTTAAATCCTTTGATATGAATGAGTCTTTATTTATATTGGCACGATGTGTGTGATTGTATTAACCTTGGGTACATGTGTACGGTACAGTTTTGCCTTATCAGACCTTTTAAGCAAATGATTATAGTGACTCAGTGTACTACATTTCCTGTTAATCATTAACGGAAGGACAAGAAATGCAGTGACATCATGGGAATGCTGTCACTGGTGTTAAAAGAACGAGCTGGTCAATGATAAACATGGCCCGAAGCAGTCACGGCTTCCCTACAAAGGTTGAGTAAGGAGACTTGTGACTTTAGGGTTGAGTGTTCTGCCCTCTAGTGGATACATTGTGAAGTAACGTGTAGTGTTGCAATTATTGCAGCTATTTTTTTAATGTTGCATTTCTAATATATATATTTTAAAAAAACTCACGTGTGAAAACTAAACATAGGTTAAAGTTTGACACATATATAAATTAAATTAAAAATTTTAAATTAAAAAATAATTTGAATGTGAGTAATGGGAGCTTGTCGACGTGACTCACTGTGTCAACATCCTCGACATCCTTATGACTTCAGTCAAACATGCACGGTGAGGTATTAGTATCATGATAAATCACCGCATATCTGGCCAATACTTGAGGCATGTAGCCATCGAGGATGAATATCAAACAGATGTCATAAGGAAAAGAAGCTGTCAGCGGGGATGAAAAACAATTCCCAGGTCTCTTTCAGGACGGTGAGCTTTTCTTTCCATTGTCTGATTTTCATTTGCACACAGTCAGTCATTGTCTTGCAAATGGGAAGCGAGAAGAACAAAAGTGTGTATGCGTTCTGCTCAGAACCTATAGTACTTAAAGTACTCCTCCTTCTCTTTCTTCTCACCTTCACGACGGCTCCCATCATGCCGTGCTTCCTCCTGAGTGTCTTCTTCAACCAGGCCCACTTAGCTACATCCTGCTGTGTTATTATCATCTTCATCCTGCCTCTCTTTTTTTTCTTCTTTATCTGGCAGGTTCGCATCAACAAACACATGAAAATCCTCAAGGTAGGAGCGATAAAATAACAAATACAAAGGCATTATACAAAGATAATTTAAAATTTTAAAATCAGTTAATTAAATAATTCATTCCCTATTGTTGTACAAATGAAGGAGTTAAGTCAACATTCTTCCCCATAAAGTCTTAGTCTGCTAAAGATAGTACACATTTAGCTAACCATTACCTTTTTATTAACTTTTTTTTAATTCATGCAAACTCTTCAAAACCTCCATTACATCATTTGTTCTCTCACTTCCACTGTATGGGAACTCAATGTCCTTGTTTGTATTTGCACTTTCTGGCAAATGTGATTACACACACACTATCATCTCCGTTTTCTTGGTTAATTAGTGACTGACTTTGTTTTCCTTTGAATTCCAAACTGGTGAGATCAATTGTTCTCTCCCTCTCTCTGTCTCCCTCTCTCTCTCACCTGTTCTCTCAGTCATCAATGAAATCTTTGTTACTCTACTGTATATAATGGAGTGTCAGGTGAGCCTAGGTATTGAAATCGAACTATTAAAAAAAGGGTTCTGCCACAATACGTGTATTCAGTAAATAGAGAAAACTTTAGATTGAATTTGGCCTCAGACAAAGGATTTCTTTACAATAAAAGTTAAACAGGCGAACGTGGAAACGGTTGGTTAAGACGTTCCTAGTGCTCATAGTTCAGAGTTAACACAGAGGTGAGCCAGACTGCAGGCAGACAGGTTGATGATAAGATCATCCTTACTTTTCATTAGAGGATTAGTTTCATACGTCAGGGTGTTTTTTACCAATGATCTTTCAGTTCCTTGAACTATCGTTGGTTCCTCAAAAACAGGGAAATGATAAAACAGCATGTCTTTGTTGTGGGGATGTGAAGTGTTTTGACAGTGGATTGTTGTTGGTCTGCTTTCTGCACCTGTGTTCACACACCTACAACACAGTACTCGACTGTGACTTCATTGTTTTTCTATATTACATAGACAAACACACCTGTTCTTTGAGGGGTTAAAAGGAAGCGATGGCACGGCAAACAGGAGAAATACGAAATACTTTTAACTGTTTATTTATTTATGTAACTCTCTTATTACTAAACATACTAAAACTAAAAATGTTTACAAAAAACCTTATTGTATATATTTATTTTTAATGCTGTTTATCGCAGGTGTATTCGATTTCAACAGTTTCTTTTCATCATCTAAACAGCACATTTTCGGGTCTAGTTGATGCGTTTGCAGTAGTCACGATTGTGTCGAAAAATATATTCCTTTTATTTTCATAAAAACAACCAAACAAATCTAGTTCATTGACCGAGGCATTTTATTTTTGTGGGATTACATCCTTTATTGTTTTCCCTGAGGAAGGAAGTCAACAAATATGACGTCATCGTTTGGTTTGGTGATCCGTTCACGTGATGAAAACAATATCACATCGCGGCTCCTGATTGGCCTGACCTGCTATGACGTTTAGATAGGCGGGAATAAAAAAAAGAAAAAAAGAAAGAGGAGAAATCTGATTCGTCAAATGGTGGTCGAGGGAGGGCTTTAAAACCAGGGTGGAATGTAAGTGCAATAGTTCTCTCGGTGGTGTTTCCGGAATCGCTCACTCGTTCCCTACTCAATATAAATAGTTAAGTTTAGCGCATTACATAGTGGACTTATTCGTTAAATGAAAAACGGTTTCGTACACTGCTCCGGCGCGTAGTTAATTACGTAATTAATGCCGCAAAATTAAAACAAACGGACGGATTCTGCTCGTCTCTCCGCAATGCACGACTGCAATGCATTTTGGAGATGGTAATCGCCCAAATAATCTACAATGTGACCAAACCTGAAGTTACTTTTCACACATTCCAGTAACATTATTCATGAAATAAAATCGTTATCTGGCTCTGTAAAACTCCTCGTTAGTGTTTTAAATAAGTAACACCTTGTTTATAATATATAACACTGGAATGTGCTGTGCTTTAAAAATCTATTAAAATCTAAATTCCTTAAAAACCTATAAAAAAACAACCTAGTTTGTTATTAAAATATCATTGCTTTTATTTCCAGTATTCTTTTCTTAAACATATAAAAAACAACCTAGTTATTAAAATATTATTGCTTTTATTTCCAGTATTCTTTTCTAGAAATGTGCATAGTTCTGTTCTAAGCAGCTTTTTGACACTTGTTTTATAGAATCAAAGGGATGATTGACATTCGGAGCCTTGGATAATCCTTGAACTCCCTGCCGTAGGCCTTGTGCTTCCCTTTTGCCCAGATGCTCATCTGGACGAACCCCAAAATTGTGTAAAAAACCACTGGGGAGAAAAATAAGAGAGGATGACATTATTGTCAAATGAAACTCTCTGCTCACAGCCATTTCCCATCACACCGATGCGCACGCTGTGCTATTGCTCAAAGTGATGTGGAGGTAATGTGCTGTAGTGTGCATACCTGGCAGACTCTGAGTCATTACGGAGAAGCTAACCCAGGCACCGACCTGCAGCGTGTGTCATAAAACACAGCAGACAGAGGGACACATTTATACACAGAAATGATGTTCTTTACTACCAAAACTCAGTGTAACGGTACTTCCTGTCACCTCGTATGTGTAATTTGGACAGGATACAAATAAAAATAGCCATGTGAAGGGATTCCTGGTTGGCACTGGATAGCTTTTGCACCTGGCACCTAGTAAATAAATAAAAATGTAATAGAAATATTTAGCAATAATTGGCAACTTTTAACACAGATTTCATACACTCTCACTTTTGTGATTAAAACGTAAAAAAAAAAAACTCACCGTCTCCTCTGAGATCATTCAGAGTCAAGTGGATGGAAAAGTTTCCCAGTTCACAGATCTGGAAATGTGCAGAAACGTTTCATTTTTACTTCTCATTATCTCCGTGTTATGTGTGCATCAAATCAAAATTTTTATCATTATTTTTTTAAGAATACGTACCACAAATACAACAATGGCACAGTTGACCTGCAGTTCTCCGTATGCTGTGAATTACAGTTTGAATTACATGTGATTCTTGTGTATATAAAGCCAGTGTGTTTAGGTGAGTGAGTGTGTAAACGCGCATGAGCAAACTTACACGGAGGTGTATAAAGAGGATGGTTGATATAGTAAGCTAACCAAGCAGAGAAACCCCAGTAATAGGCGCAGTTCTGGGAGCAAAAAATAAACAAAACAGATGTATGAATATCTGGACATGCTGCATAAGTGAACATGAGGTTGTGCTCAACACAGCATAACGTCAGCTGGAATGGAGGAAGGGAAAACAAGGCCATATGGGGGGAGGGGGGGAGGGGGGGGAGAGGGGAGCACAGCTCTTTTATTCTTATTCAAGGAAAGTCATGTCCTCACCCTGACTATTTTCCTGAGAGGCATGGTCCCATGAGAGAAACGATGGACGAAGATAGTCTCCATCAGTCTCTTCATGTAGTGGAAGCTATGACAGACACAGGCTCGTCTGTAAGAAAGAGGACAGGGTTAAGATAAGAAATGAGACTGTTTATTATCATATATTTTTACATATACTTTTTTTATGGTCAAACACAGTGACTTGCTCGCCTTTTCAGATTATTAACGTCACGTGTAAAACAGTGCCCCTCTAAAGGCTACGGTGATGAATGAGTGTGCAACTTTATCATGTGGTATCACTGGAATGTGCTAAGCATGTTAGCGGGTTAGCTGGTCTTCAGGAGCTATTTTTTAATAGTCTCTGCTGTTAGTTGGCTATTTTGTCCACTTACGTGACAGCGGGATGAGGACTGGAGGTGAGGACATATGAGTGCGAGTAAGTGTACGGTACACGAAAATAAAACAGGAGGTAGGTGAGGAGAGGCCCAATGTACTCTGCTAGAAAAACCTGAAATGAAACAAGATGAAAAGCCAAACAATACTTCAACTAAATGACAAATGTACAGTACTTATGAAAAAAAAAACCCAAAATAGTTCTTGAAAGATTTTCCATTCCTCTTGTTTTCGTGTTCAAAATGATTGATTGCGGTCCACCAAGTATTCCAAAATAGTATAGCGTAGCCTCTCTTACTGTAGTCCATCCTAACTGTGGACCAAGGTCTTTGAAGTACATAGTAGCAACAGTCCCGACAGGTAAATTCTGTAAGATCTCATCATCTCTGAGCACTTTTCCTTCTGAAACAGAAATAATGAACAATAATAAACAGATAATACCGTTTTCTTTAGATAATACTGACTAATGCTCTTAGCCAGTGATTCTTAACCCTAGGGCCGCGGCCCAAAATTGGGCCACCAGCGCCACCTAGATATCCGTGAAAAACGTTCACTTTTTGCACCTCTGGGCCTAAGTCACCAAGATATGGTATCCATGAGAAACTCTGATACGAGGTAGCTTTTTACCACATGGTGGCTGTTTTCTTTAGATAATACTGATTAATTCTCTCAGCCAGTGAGTCTTAACCCTAGGGCCGCGGCCCAAAGTTGAGCCACCAGCCGAAGTCACCAGAGATATGTTATACATGAGAAACTCTGACACGAGGTAGCTTTTTACCACATGGTGGCGGTAATGCATCATACAGTTCTTTAACAAGCTCCAATATACAGAAGAAATATATTTCTTCTATACGCTAGCTGTAGCAAGTATGGTGACTTTTCAAAGAAAAACAAAAAAAAAGGAAACAAACGTCATCATATCTTCTTATTAATGAATACATTAACTAATTAATTCATCATATCTAATAATTAATGGCCCCAGGCGACTTTGTACTATAAAAATTGGGCGTCAAGGTCAAAAAAGTTAAGAATCCCTGCACCAAGCTGCATCAAGAATAACAAGGTTCTTTTACTTTGTTAATATTTGAATCTTCAGTTATCTATTATCGATTGTTTGTCTGCATTGAGTGAACCACTGGGGTAAACTCGCATTTTATAATTTTTTATAATATAATACTGATCAGCCTTCCAGCACCGTATCCCCATGAGTGGACACTCACGGGAACACAGTCACGTACGATAGGTTTTACTAATTGGATGACATTTTTAGAACGTCCTTTGGGGGAGCTAGCCCACATAGCTTTTTATCCACACATCTCACGTTGTGCTTTTCAGTGCTACGGTAGTTTCATTCAGAACAATGGCTCTGCATTTAATGCATGCAGATGAGATGCATACTAACGTGACATTCTTTTAGGACGTAAACAAAAGAACAACAGCCAACTGTTTCCCCACGCAGTGATTTAAATGAGTTTGTTCACCCCTAGAAAAAAAAAGGTCAGTACAAACAGTTCTCAGTCATCACGCAGGGGAATATAAATGAATGTACGTTACATCCCCCCCATTGTTTTAGTACTAGTTGTAATATAGAAGTACATCATAGTGCAGTAATGTACCTAAAGTGTATATTGTTGAATGTATATAATATATAGATGATACAGGGACTCCTCGTTTACGTTGTCCTCGACCTACGGCGTTTGGTAGTTACGTCGCCATCTCACATAAATGTATTACGAATTTCTTGTTCCATCCAAACATGCAGACTTCAAACAAATTTCAAACAGGAACTAATAGTTTGGCGGAGTGGACGAATACTATACTACTATACGTAGACGACGACTTTGTTTACATTTGCGGTTTGTACGTCATGCAATGGATTGTGCTGCATTCACTTTCATTTGTTTATGTTGGTTTTTTGGGAACTTTATGCCCTTCATCATGGCTGCCAAGTGTAAGTCAGACTCTTCTGATGTGTTTCTGTCCTAGATTATGATGTTACCAATCTGTTACAGTATTGTAGGGGACAATAGGTACTTATGCGCATTGGCTTAGTTCCGATTTATGTTGCGCTGTAGGAATGGAATTTGAATGTATTTTTAAGGGACCTCCCGTATAATGTTTTTGAAAGAATTGTTTGGGCTGAACTTCAGATGTACGATTGTTTTTGAAACACCGATAATAAATCACAGTTACATAACAACAAAATGGCTACTTACTAGGATCAAGCTTTAGCGCCTGTCTGGCTGGATACCAGTGAGGATCTGTGTACATACATATGTATATATGGAGAGAAAGAGCATTTGGCCTTAGGCTCAGTAATAACTGATCAGTACAGATACAGTATATGCAATGCTGCTGTAATGAAACACAAGACTGTTGATAGAACCAAAAAAAAATAAAACAACATCGACAAAAAACAGTTCATTAGACTGAGCAAACACTTACATGATTTGTGAAAAAGGCTCTTGATGTCTCCTACTGTTGAGTATGGCTCCACCTGAATACAACATTTAAATATAAGCTATTTAAACTATACATAAATTGAAATAAAGGCATTTGATTCTTCCTAGCTAAACGAGAAGATGGCGAGATTTCCCAATCCACACACTGTGGATTACAGTATCATTACAGTCAGACTTGTCCAGACCATAGCACAGGAAGCTTACCTTGTCTAAATAACAAAGGTGTTTTCTTGTGTTGGCATCCAGGACCCACACCTGTGGAAAACACGAAAAGTAC